TTAATGAGCAATTTCTAATACTATTTAATGAACAATCTTCTTCTTGTGTGTTTGTTATAAACAATCTTTCCGTGCACATGGTACATCCAGATCTAAACAAAACAGGGAAGGATTTCTTAACTCTAAAAATGGAGGAAGACAATGATTGAGAGAATAGACATAATGCATGATTAACGTGTTAAGGAAACAAAGGGCATCTAATTTTCAAAATCTAATTAAATTAAAAGTTTTTGGTTTTACATTTTAGATGGAATTATATTATAAAACAAAAATTATTAAATGGTGAAAAGAATCTCTTTATTAACAATTAAAATTATACAATTTAAAATAATCCTCTCTACCTAACACATTTTTATTAAATTAATCTAATTCTCATTAATCCCTCACTGTTTTGTAACCAATTGTCTAGTTGTACCTCCTTATCTTACACAATGAAACTTTTAGTTTCTGAACTTAAATGTTTGAAAATTTTAACCTATAAACTAAAAAAATTTATTAACTTTTTGCTAAAATGAGAATAAAATATTTATAGAATTAGTTTTCAATAATTAAAAATGTAATAATTTAGTTTCAAAATTTTAAAAATTAAAAAAATTAGTAAATTAAAAATAATTAATAAATAATTTTGCTACATACACAAAAATAATATTAAAATATCTACAATCAAATCGAGTGATTAGTTCAATCTAAACATAGAAATTTAACTGAGATTAAAGAAAATTTTTTGATTATATTTTTTAATTTCTTAGACTTTTTGTCTTAATTTAACTAAAAAATTTCTTTAATCTTAATTGGAATTATTTCTTCAAATTGAGTCAATTGCTCAATTTTATCATAGATATCTAATACTATTCTACTGTGTGTAAGAAAGCCATTTATTAATTCCTTTCAATTTACAAAATTTTTCAATTTTTAAACTATTGGAATTAAATTATTATATTTTACTTTTTGAGACCTGATTTTGTAAATATTTTATTTTTATTTTTATTTTAATAAAAGTTAATAAATTTTCTTAATTTAAAGGTTAAAATATTTAAACCTTTAATTTTAATAGTTAAAAATTTTATAATATAAAATAAATGATTAAAATCTTTAAATTTATTAAGATTAACTCAAGAAGGAAGGAGCATTGAATGTTGCCCTTCTGGGGGATGTACTGTAAATGTGTATGGCGTTTCTCTGCCAACATTATCTCAAATTAATCTCAATTTCATTCCGCTTTCCCGATTTATAATATCAGCTCTGGTCCTTTCTCAGCCACCGTAAAACGCTAAGAGAGCAACTGGTGCCATCTCACCCCATGAGAGTACTTGAGGTCACCAAAGTCACCTCCTCTTCTCACTCCCCAAGATCAGCCGCCGACTTCTCTCTTCCACTCACTTTCTTGGACACTTTTTGGTTCAAGTTCCCCCCCGTCGAACGCCTCTTCTTCTATCGCCTCCCTGACATAAACCATAACTTCTTCAACTCAGGGATCCTCCCCAAACTCAAAACGCCCCGGCCCAAAACCCCCCCCAATTCCCCCCCCCTACCGGTAACCTCACTTGGCCCTCACCTGATGTTGCAAAACCCATCATCCGCTACGCTCCAAACGATGGGGTTTCTTTCACAGTTGCGGAGTCCAACGGAGACTTCGACCGTCTCTCCGGTCACCAAGCCTATGAAGCTAACAAATCACATCATTTGGTACCTCCATTGAAGGTATCTGATGATACCGCATCAATCATAGCTTTGCAGGTCTCACTATTTCTGAATAAAGGGTTTTGCATCGGCATAACAACACACCATACAGTTCTTGATGGTAAAAGTACGGCCATGTTTGTTAAGGCTTGCGTTCATATATGTCGGCAAGGTGAGGAAGGAAACTCTTCTACGACATTACCGATTGAGTATACCCCATTTTTTGACAGGAGTGTAATCAAAGAACCATCTGGACTAGATATCTTGTACTTGAACCAGTGGCTAGCTGTCTCGCTCTCTTCAGACTCAAGAAGTTTGAAGGTGCCACAAAATCTAGGTGTTGTCCCTCAAGATTTGGTTCGAGAAACGTTTCAACTAACTCGTGAAAACATCAAGATACTCAGAGAAATGGTTGTTTCTAAATGGGATAAGTCAAAGCCACCAATTCATCTGTCAACTTTTGTGCTGACAATGGCATATACAACAACTTGTATATGGTGCAAGCAAGAGGGGGAGAAAGTGACAGAAATGTAGTCTGGGGTTCACAGCTGATTACAAGAGCCGTTTAGACCCACCTGTGCCAGAAAATTATTTCGGAAACTGTGTTGGTTCACGCTGGCAAGCTGTGAGAGCGATAGACTTTTATGGATACAAACGGGTTGGCCTTTGCAGTTAAGAAGTTGAGCGACGAGACTAAGGACATGGAAAAGGGTCAGATTCTTGCAGGAGAAGAAAATAAGTTGTCTAGCATCCTGGGGTTGGCAAAGGAATCTGCAGGATCCTCGCAATTTATTGGTGTGGCCGGATCGCCCCTTTTCAATGTTTATGAGTCGGATTTTGGGTGGGGTAAGCCAAAAATGGTGGAGATTGTGTCCATAGACAGAACTCAAGCTATCTCTTTGACTGAGAGTGCAGATGGTAGTGGTGGTGTTTAGATTGGGCTGGCAGTGGGTAATCTAATTATTATTGTTATTATTATTATTATTATTATTTTTTAAATAAAGACAATTGCCTATTACTAACATTACATATTTTTAATAGAGGGTAAGAGAAGAGGAGTTATGGATCAAATATGATACGACTTAATAGTGTTTTCACTTATGGAATAGAAAATTATCACTCCGTCCATAAAGTAATCTGATTAGTAACCCAATAAAAAATGTGAACTTGATATGTTTCGCGAAAAGGAATAATAAGAAACAGAAGAGAAAGGGGCAATTTTTGTTTTAGCATAATTACAATAATATGTAATATTGTAAATTTAAAACCATAATGTGCTATTATTATATGATTGATTGTTTTTATTTAAAAAGACAATACATAATATTACATATATCTAATCATTTAATGTCAAATTATTACTATAAACTTACAATCTTATATAATAAAATTTGAAATTAATGTTTATCAATTGAATTAAAAAAACAAAAAAAAATTAAAATTATGTTATTTTATTAAAACACTAAAAAATATTAAAATAAATTCATTATTAATTTAAAAATAAATTATTAGTCTTTTTTAATATAAATTTATTAAAATAATATAAGTTTAAAATATTTTTCTCTTAATATTTTAAAGATTTTATTGAGATACACTTTTTCCATAGCATTTAATAAATAATATCTTTTTGTGTATTTGTTATAAACAATTGTTAACACTAAAAAAAATAAAAGAAATGATATGAAACTAATTAAATACTTTATTCATAAAAAATGACGGAAGTGTAAAATAGAAAGAGTATAAAAAAAATAATAATAAACCCTTCCTAAATCTAATATTGGGTATTTATGATAATGCATGGTTAACAGGTTAAGGAGACAAACGGCATCAAATTTTCAAAATATAACTAATTACTCCAATTTCCATTAGTCCCTAGCTGGCTGTTCTGTAGCCAGCTGTCCATTTGCTTTAATAATGACAGCTAAACAAATTAATCGACAATTATAGCCAACAAATGCTTATCGCACGCATTTTTATTTTAATTAATTAGTATATATTTTAATTTATTAAAAAATAAAAAATATAATTTTTTTTTACAAAAATTATTATAAAAATAAATAAATTATTATATTAAAG